ATTTTGTATGAAAGTCCATGTGCAATCAGGGGAGTGAGACATTTTGTTTCTTGCAGTTCGCTAGTGATTGGCTGAAATCTCCCTCTTTGAGTGGTCCCCATGAAGACCACGCCTACATTGTAGCCTTTGGGTGATGTGATTGGCCAGCGGACCTGAGGGGCGGGCCCAGCATGTGGGATCTCCGTGTCCTGGGAAAGTTGCTGTCAGTAAGATCCGTGACAGTCATGGCGCAGGAGCTCCGGGGACTTACCGATGAACAGGCCTCTAGCGCCTGCTCCGAGCCGGACCCAGAAACAAAGGTTCGCCGGGGTTTGCAAACGAGCTGTGAGCGGGCGGCCGACTCGAGTGAAAGTTGATCTTTTGGGAAAGCACCGAGTGCATGTGATTTCTCTGTAGACTGATTGATTGACACAAATTGTGCAGGATTGAGACAGAGCCGAGCGGTTGAGATCCCATTAACTCCGGCCAGGTTTGGGCTATGCTCAGTGAATTGACAGTTCTAGTTAAACTAAAACGGAAAATTCTGGGGAAATTTAGCGGGTCTGGTAGCATTTATGGAGAGAAAGCAGAGTTCACGTTTCGGATCCAGTGACCTTTCTTCGAAACTGGTTGCAGCTGGGGTAAGGTTGGTATATGTGCTGAACATGGTGTAGGGGAAGGGCGTGAAGAGTCAACGATAGGTGAAGATGGACCCCAGACAGAGAGAGAGAGAGAGAAAACACCAGTTGGATAGACAAATCGCCTCGGGATCAAGAGCTGCTAACTGGGACCATTAGTAGCTGACAATGGGATGGTTGTGGCGGCAGCCCACATAATGACAAGGCCTGGTGTGCAGGGGTTGGGGTAAGGACATGGGAGAAGGTGATAAGTTATAGAGTCATAGAGATACATAGCATGAAAACAGACGCTTTGGTCCAACTCGTCCATGCCAACCAGATATCCTAAATTAATCTAGTCCTATTTGTCAGCATTTGGCCCATTTCCTTTGACCCTTCCTATGCATGTACTTATCCAGGTGCCTTTTAAATGTTGTAATTGTACCAGCTTCCACCACTGGCAGCTCATTACATAGACACACCACTCTGTGTGGAAAAAGTTGCCACTTAGGTCCCTTTTAAATCGCTCTCCTCTCACCTTAAAACTATACCCTCTAGTTTTGGACTCCCCTACCCTGGGAAAAAAGACCCTGGCTATTCACCCTATCCATGACCCTCATGATTTTATAAACCTCTATAAGGTCATCCCTCAGCCTCCAATGCTTCAGGGAAAATAGCCCCAGCCTACTCAGCCTCTTCCTATGGCTCAAACCCTCCAATCCTGGCAACATCCTTGTAAATCTTTTCTGAACCCTTCCAAGTTTTACAACATCCTTCCTATTGGCAGGAAGACCAGAGTTGAACACAGCATTCCATAAGTGGGCTAACCAACATCCTGTACAGTTACAACATGACATCCTAATTCCTAAACTCTCTTCACTGACCAATGAAGGCATATGTGCCAAACGCCTTCTTCACCACCCTATCTATCTGCAACTCCATTTTCAAGGAACTGTGTACCTGCACCCTTATGTCTGTTTGTTCAGCAACACTCCCCAGAGCTCGACCATTAACTGGACAAATCCTACCCTGGTTTGCCTTATCATAATGCATCACCTGACATTTATTGAAATTAAACTCCATGTACCACTCCGTGACCATTAGTCCATTTGATCAAGGATCCATTGTTGTCTGAGGTGTCATCTGCCAACTTACTAACCATACCTACAAGTAGTGCAGACATAGAACATAGAACATTACAGCGCAGTACAGGCCCTTCGGCCCTCGATGTTGCGCTGACCTGTGAAACCAATCTGAAGCCCATCTAACCTACACTATTCCATTATCATCCATATGTTTATCCAATTACCATTTAAATGCCCTTAAAGTGGGCGAGTCTACTACTGTTGCAGGCAGGGCATTCCACGCCCTTACTACTCTCTGAGTAAAGAACCTATCTCTGACATCTGTCCTATATCTATCACCCCTCAATTTAAAGCTATGTCCCCTCGTGCTAGCCATCACCATCCCCGGAAAAAGGCTCTCGCTGTCCACTGTATCTAATCCTCTGATCACCTTGTATGTCTCTATTAAGTCACCTCTTAACCTTCTTCTCTCTAACGAAAACAGCCTCAAGTCCCTCAGCCTTTCCTCATAAGACCTTCCCTCCATATCAGGGAACATCCTGGTAAATCTCCTCTGCACCCTTTCCAATGCTTCCACATCCTTCCTATAATGCGGCGACCAGAACTGTACGCAATACTCCAAGTGCGGCTGCACCAGAGTTTTGTACAGCTGCAACATGACCTCATGGCTCCGAAACTCAATCCCTCTACCAATAAAACCTAACCCACCGTACGCCTTCTTAACAACCCTATCAACCTGGGTGGCAACTTTCAGAGATCGATGCACATGGACACCGAGATCTCTCTGCTCATCCACACGACCAAGAATCTTACCATTAGCCCAGTACTCTGTATGCCTGTTACTCCTTCCAAAGTGAATCACCTCTCACTTTTCCACATTAAACTCCATTTGCCACCTCTCAGCCCAGCTCTGCAGCTTATCTATGTCCCTCTGTAACCTGCAACATCCTTCCGCACTATCCACAACTCCACCGACTTTAGTGTCATCCGCAATATTACTAACCTATCCTTCTACGCCCTCATCCAGGTCATTTATAAAAATGACAAACAGCAGTGGCCCCAAAACAGATCCTTGCGGTACACCACGAGTAACTGAACTCCAGGATGAACATTTCCCATCAACCACCACCCTCTGTCTTCTTACAGCTAGCCAATTTCTGATCCAAACCGCTAAATAACCCTCGATCCCATGCCTCTGTATTTTCTGCAATAGCCTACCATGGGGAACCTTATCAAACGCTTTATTGAAATCCATATACACCACATCAACCGCTTTACCCTCATCCACCTGTTTGGTCACCTTCTCAAAGAACTCAATAAGGTTTGTGAGGCACGACCTACCCTTCACAAAACCGTGTTGACTATCCCTAATCAAATTATTCCTTTCTAGATGATGATAAATCCTATCTCTTATAATCCTTTCCAACACTTTACACACAACCGAAGTAAGGCTCACTGGTCTATAATTACCAGGGTTGTCTCTACTCCCCTTCTTGAACAAGGGGACGACATTTGCTATCCTCCAGTCTTCTGGCACTATTCCTGAAGACAATGACGACATAAAGATCAAAGCCAAAGGCTCTGCAATCTCCTCCCGAGCGTTCCAGAGAATCCTAGGATAAATCCCATCTGGCCCAGGGGACTTACCTATTTTCACACTTTCCAGAATTGCTAACACCTCGTCCTTATGAACCTCAATCCCGTCTAGTCTAATAGCCTGTATCTCAGTATTCTCCTCGACAACATTGTCTTTTTCCTGTGTGAATACTGACGAAAAATATTCATTTAGCGCCTCTCCTATCTCTTCGGACTCCACGCACAACTTCCCACTACTGTCCTTGACTGGCCCTAATCTTACTCTAGTCATTCTTTTATTCCTGACATACCTATAGAAAGCTTTAGGGTTTTCCTTGATCCTACCTGCTAAAGACTTCTCATGTCCCCTCCTGGCTCTTCTTAGCTCTCTCTTTAGGTCCTTCCTGGCTAACTTGTAACTCTCAAGCGCCCTAACTGAGCCTTCATGCCTTATCTTTACATAAGCCTCCTTCTTCCTCTTGACGAGATTCAACTTCTTTAGTAAACCATGCTTCCCTCGCTCGACCACTTCCTCCCTGCCTGACAGGTACATACTTATCAAGGACATGCAGTAGCTGTTCCTTGAACAAGCTCCACATTTCAATTGTGCCCGGCCCCTGCAGTTTCCTTCTCCATCCTATGCATCCTAAATCTTGCCTAATCGCCTCATAATTGCCTTTCCCCCAGCTATAACTCTTGCCCTGCGGTATATACTTTTCCCTTTCCATCGCTAAAGTAAACGTAACCGAATTGTGGTCACTATCACCAAAGTGCTCACCTACCTCCAAATCTAACACCTGGCCTGGTTCATTACCCAGTAATCCAATGTGGCCTCGCCTCTTGTTGGCTATCTACATACTGTGTCAGGAAACCCTCCTGCACACATTGGACATAAAGTGACCCATCTAAAGTACTCGAACTATAGCGTTTCCAGTCAATATTTGGAAAGTTAAAGTCCCCCATAACAACTACCCTGTTACTTTCGCTCCTATCCAGAATCATCTTTGCAATCCTTTCCTCTACATCTCTGGAACTTTTCGGAGGCCTATAGAAAACTCCCAACAGGGTGACCTCTCCTTTCCTGTTTCTAACCTCAGCCCATACTACCTCAGTAGATGCGTCCTCATCAAATGTCCTTTCTGCCACCGTAATACTGTCGTTGACTAACAATGCCACACCTCCCCCTCTTTTACCACCTTCCCTGATCTTACTGAAACATCTAAACCCCGGAACCTGCAACAACCATTCCTGTCCCTGCTCTATCCATGTCTCCGAAATGGCCACAACATCGAAGTCCCAGGTACCAACCCATGCTGCAAGTTCACCCACCTTATTCCGGATGCTCCTGGCGTTGAAGTAGACACACTTCAAACCACCATCCTGCCTGCCGGTACACTCCTGCGTCCTTGAAACCTTATTCATGACCTCACTACTCTCAACCTCCTGTACACTGGAGCTACAATTCAGGTTCCCATCCCCCTGCTGAATTAATTTAAACCCTCCCAAAGAGCATTAGCAAATTTCCCCCCCAGGATATTGGTACCCCTCTGGTTCAGGTGTAGACCATCCTGTTTGTAGAGGTCCCACCTACCCCAGAATGAGCCCCAATTATCCAGGTATCTGAATCCCTCCCTCCTGCACCATCCCTGTAGCCAAGTGTTCAACTGCTCTCTCTCCCTATTCCTCGCCTCGCTAGCACGTGGCACGGGTAACAAACCAGAGATAACAACTCTGTTTGTTCTAGCTCTAAGCTTCCACCCTTGCTCCTTGAATTTCTGCCTTACATCCCCATCCCTTTTCCTACCTATGTCGTTGGTGCCTATGTGGACCACGACTTGGGGGTGCTCCCCCTCCTCCTTAAGGATCCCGAAAAACACAATCCGAGACATCACGGACCTTGGCACCTGGGAGACAACACACCAACCGCGAGTCTCTCTCGTTCCCACAGAATCTCCTATCTGTGGCCTCCTCTGCACCTTGGGTATTGGAACAAAGCAAGTGTTTGCAGATATAAATAAGAAGTAGTTCCATGGTGATTGGTGT